TAATTTATTATAAATTATTGAAAAGCAGTGCAATCCGTCTTCTCTGTTTAACCAGCGCTTTCACGCTCACCCACACGCCCAAAAAAACTTTAACAAGCGCATAATAAAGCTGTCGCCAAAAAAATAATAGCGTTTTGTTTTAAATTGCAACAAAAAATTTTTGTTCATTAGCTCAACTTTTATGAAAAAAGCTTTTTTTACCAGTTTTTTTTTAAATCATTTTATTTAGTATTTATTCAAAACATTCTTTCCACTATTGTTATTTTAATTTAAGAAAAATATTATTTTTTTAAACTGCACAAACTAACTTAAAAATGAACATCCTGCCAGCACTTTTTCATGCACTGGCATCAAATTTCAAATGGAGAAGACTGTACAATATAAAATTAATTAAAACCAGTCAGCAGCACAATAAAGCAAAAAAAATAATTTTAGAATATTTTTTATATTCATAAACCTTTTTGGAAATAGTGTGAGGCAATTTCCTGTTTCTATTTTTATTAAATAAACTTGGGCTACCAATTTGAAATTTTGTTCAAAAGTTTTAACTCAAACAACTTCAAACTATATAAAGGTAAAAGTTATATAAATAAAAATAAATAAATAAAAAGGTACTAATAAAGTACAAATTGATTTTTTTTCCCAACTGGTGTTTTACAAATTGACTAATTGGTGCATTCACTTTATATTATTAACTTTCTTCATGTCTTAATAAGAATTAAAAAACCTAATAACTAAAAAAAAATTTTAACTAAAAAAAACTAACTAAAAAAAAACTAACTAAAAAAAACTAACTAAAAAAAAAATAACTAAAAAAATTTTTTAACTGTCTGATGTTTCCTTAGCAATAGTAGAAAAATACTTAGACTTGATTTTTCTGTTATATTGCTTGTAACTTTAACTGTAACATGTTATCAGCTTATTTTTTGATTTGATATATAAGATTTAATTAATTTATTTTAATTCACATAATTCATTTTGCACTGTACCATCATTTTACCATCAAACATCCTTAAAAAAGTAAGCCATTGGAAGTTATCTACCCATATAAGTTAAAAGTCTTTTTTTTTTTCAGTAATAAAAAAAAACATTACTTTTTGCATTGAAAATGGTCAGAAAAATCAATAATAAACCATTCACAAAAAAAATTAGACAAGACTCGTAATTCTCAAAGAGGGTTGTATGGGGATAAACAACTTGGATATATAATAACTTTGCTTAATGAGTTCAAGCTGGATATGAATGTTCTAGCTTTTTTATCTATAAAAAAAAACTGTAAGTTCATAATTATTTCAATTTTATTTTTCTTAAAGTGCTTTCTAAAAACGTGAATTAAGCCACATTTTGAAGCCAAATTTGAATATTTAGAAATCTTAAAGTAAACAAATATTAGGTAATGTGTATGTTAAAAGGGAAAACCGAATTTTATATTTGAAACATTTTCTTTACTTAGTTATGATCAAAATGTAAATTATTAAATTGAGAAAAAAAAGAGCTTGTTAAAATAACATTGTGACTTTGTAATATATAGTGGAGAATAAAAATTTTAATTCAGATTTTTATAAACTAGTAATTTAATTCAAGGTCAGATTCAATTCAAAACTAAAATTGTTTATTTTCAGGTTCCTAGAAGTAATAGTATTATAAATCTTACCCCTTTGGTACATTCTTAAGAATTGGAATTTGAAACTTAGTTTCAAACTTAAATGCATACGAAAGACTGGTTCCTAATATGACCTAAAAGATAAATAAAAAAATATCTAAATATTTAGTACATTTTTTTTGTTTTATTTTTTCTTTTGTTGAAATAATATTTTTTTAAATACATAAAATATATTATTAAAAATAATTTATCTAAGATGTAAAAAAACATTAAAAATTCATATAAATAAATATATTATTAAACATAACATTATAAGTTTTTTTTTTAATATTGAATGTTTAATATATGATTAAGCATTACAAGTACTTTAAAGAAAAATACTTCTATTAAAAGAGACTGGTTACAATCCATCCTGATATACAAAAAATATATTTATACACAAACAAATGAAAGGAGGATTCTGTTAAAGAAAACCTTAATTAAAAGTCTTTTCTCAAATTTTGACTAAAAAATCTAGAAAAGTCAAAGAATATAATTTTTTAAGATTTAATGTTTAATATATGATTAAGCATTACAAGTACTTTACAGAAAAATATTTTTATTAAAAAGAGACTGGTTACAATCCATCCTGATATTAGGGCTGTACCAAATTTCGGCTCCGGCTCCTGCTCCGGCCGAAATCCGGCCATTTTTACAAATCCGGCCCAAATCCGGCTCCGGCAAAATGTTAGCAAATCCGGCATAATTTTGGCCGGATTTCTGGATGTTTATTACATCTTTCTTACCCGTGATAACATGTATACATAATACTTAATTTTTGGATTTCATGTTTGTTTTGGTATCTGTATTTACATTTTTTTACAATTTAATAAGCTAAGCCTAATTTCAAACAAGAACGCAACAAAAAATTCTGAAGAGAAAACACACGATATTCTGCAATAATGCAGGTGTAAAGACTATGAAGTCAATCCTAATCAACTCATTAGATGAGCGTTTCAAAGGCATTGAGGAGAAACCTTTTTAGATTGAAAAAATAAAGAAAATCCAGCAAAACAATCCCGGCTGGATAATTCTTATACATTATCATCATTACAATGGCAATATATATAAATGAAATTATTCAGTCTACGCCCACTTGTGGCACAGCACATGAACAACAATTACCAACAGGCATTGACACTCAGCTAAGCCAATATCTGGAAGAATCAGAAATATATAGACACGCTGATTCACTACAGTGGCGGAGTGACAACATCCCGGGAAAAAAAGTTCTGTAGAATTTCTCTAAATTTTTGAAACATATGGCCTATAGAAACTCTATAAAATTTATATAAAATGTCTATTAATTTCTATAGAAATTGCTATAAAACTTTTAAACAACAAAAATGATGTTTAATAGAAAACAACCCGACGAGCATTTGTTTTTAAAAGTTATGTTCTGAATGTGTTTTAAATGTCTTTTAAACATTGATGTTTAAAAGACGTTTAAAAGACATTTAAAATACATTTAGATCGTAACTTTTAAAAAGAAATGCCCGTCGGGAACTGTCATTTGGTGATCTAAATAGTCAACATTGTTGACCATTTTCAACACCAAGTAGGGATATACAGGACTTTGGTTCCTGTAGTTTTGCTTCAAAATCCGGCTCCGGCTCCGATTCCGGCCGGATCTGTTAGTAAAAATCCGGCAAATCCGGCTCCGGCCGGATTTGGAATAATTAAATCCGGTACAGCCCTACCTGATATACAAAAAATATACACAAACAAATAAAAGGAGGATTCTGTTAAAGAAAACTTTAATTAAAAGTCTTTTCTCAAATTTTGAGTAAAAAATCTAGAAAAGTCAAAAAATATAATTCCCTTAGCTAAATATTAAAATAAAGACTTAAGTAATTACACAATTCAACAAGATGCAAAATTTATTGTAAATGTTAGACCAGACAAACTTGAGCTTTTATTACATCCTCATAAGGATGCAATAAAAGCTCAACCTCTTTTTCTTTTCTACAAATATTTCCTTGGTTGATTATCAAATAAGCTAACATTTTTTTTCTTATCACTTAATTATTATAATAATTCCATGGTTGATTATCTAACAAGCTAACATTTGTTTTTTACTAAAATTCTATCTTTATGTGATTTTTTATAAAACTTCACAGTTAAGACTAATATTTATTTATTTAGTTTTTATTTGTCAAGCATTAGTGCTCTAATATTAAAGTCATTAAATCAATACCAAGTTTTCCTGATTCATACAACTAACAGCTTTTGTATTATAATTAAGTCTATTGTCAACCATTTTTTTGCCCTTTAACTATCTTCTTTACTTCCTAGTAACACCCAACATAATTAGTAACACATAACATAACTGTGGCTGCCTGTAGTTTCTTCGGAAAAACAAATATTTAAAAAAAATTTTAAAGTATTTCTAAATGCTTAGCCCTTTAAATGCGCAGTAAATTGAAAGATGTTTAGAAAAATAAAAATGATAAAAAACAATCATTCATTTTAACAATCATTCATTTTAACAATCATTAATTTTAACAAAACATATAAAATCAATATATCAAAGTAAGAAAAACTTATGCACTATTCAGTGGTACCACTTATAAATTCCAAAACTAATATTTTAGTGCTAAAATCATAGTTTTGAAAATAACTTTAAAAGCAATCATGGCCACACTCAAAGGGTTAAAGCTTATGCAGTAGTCTTCTTCAAACCATTGTATCTAAAGATTTTTCAAAGTCAGTAAAAATAATGTCAAAAACCTAAATGTAAACCCTCAGTGGTTATGTCAAGAGTCTTTAGTAATTTAGTCATTCATGCTTTTTTTAACATGAATTCATGTTATATACTAATGATGACACCTGCATTGGCTTCTATTACTTTTACAGGAACTAACATTACCAAAAGTTTCCAGGAACTAAATGTTAACAAAAGAATCTAGTTCAAAGTCAAAAGAACATTTCTTCAAAAGTTCAGATGCCATCAAAGCCAATATCAGTTTAATGGCACTCACCAACTATTATCTTAAACTAAAGACAATTTTATTACAAGTTGTAAAAAAATGTATTTACATGTTTTTAACTTGTATACAAATACCCCACCGTTGTGGTCTTATATTAAAATTTGCAGCTTTAGTGTAACATTTCTTATATTTACTATAGGGCTTTATGTCAAAAAGAAGTGATAAGAAGTAAGATATGAAAATATATTTTTTCTTTCTTATTACTATACTTTTATTTAAACAACACAAACAAAAAAATATAACAAATAACTATAACATTAAAAAAAAAACAATTGATAAAAACCTTGATACAGTATATACTATGCAAGCAAGTATGAAAATTTAAAAACCAACCAATATGAGCTCTGCAGGTATGGGAATCTTCAACTTAAATTTGTCACTAACAAATTTTGTTAATAAAAGGATAATAACACAAATGGTTCCAAGCAACAGAACAGGTAATTTGATCAGCTTGATATGTGCACTAACATAGTAATATAACTGAAATAAAAAAAATAACATTATAAATATATATATATATATATATATATATATATATATATATATATATATATATATATATATATATATATATATATATATATATATAATTTAATCCTTCAAAGAGTGCTCAATAGGGTGGATTGCAAAAAATATTTTGAATAAAATAATACTCATATTACTATGTAAAATTAAACTTTAAATTGAGTTTTTTATGTTTTTTAATTTGAAAATGTTTTGTTAATACAATTGACACTTTTAATTGCGATTTTATTGTTTATTGTTAAAACCCATCATTGGGAATGCAAAACAACAATATTAATTCTAAAGGTAAGTAATATTCATGTTATAAAATTAATACCAGTTATGAAAATGCATATCATAAAGTTCGTTTTTATTACACATTAATACTTGATATACTCAGTAAGTATGTTTAATATTCGTGATTTGTGGGTTTTTTAAGGTGGGATATATTTAAAATATAGAAGAACTTTATTCAGTTTATATACCCAAGACTCAAATAATTTTTATTAATATGTATCTTTTGTTACTTTTAATAAAAGTACAAACAATTAATAATAATACATTGAATATGAAAACTATACATTATTTGGAAACTTAATTGTCTGACTTTGTTGAAAAAGCTTGTTTTGTCGGAGGTGCCCACAAAAAGATCAGTAATTTAAATGAGAATTCTCATAAAGATTAGTTTTTAATTTTTTTAAACTTTAAAAATAGTTTCAGAAAGTAATTTAATATTAAAAAAAAATTATTTAAAAAAAAAATCTTTAATTATAATTAAATTATTCTTTAATTATAATTATAAAATATAATTTTTTCAACAAAATTATATAATGTAGAAAACATTAAAATCCCAAATACTACAAGTTAGGCACATATTGACTCTTTGTGGCCTCTATTACAAAAAGTTCCTGTACTTGATCTTCTTAGGTTTCATAATCAAAGACTTAAGAAGAAAGAGATGTGATTATAAAAAATCGATTACCAAGAGAGTAGAGAAAAAAGAAAAAAAGAAACTCAGCAAGAAGTTGAAAGAAAAAGGAAAAAAAAGAAAAGAAAAAAAACTGAGTTGGATAAATTTCAGGTCAGCTAATTTACTATAAATGAATTAAATTCTTTAACTGTTGTAGAATTTTTCTTATTGCTATCTAAAAAAGTAATATTAGTAAGTAATAATATATAATATAGAAACTACATTTTAAAACAATTTAGAAGCCTGAACTAGTTTTCAATCTGATGGATGAAAAAAAAACAATGTTGATAGATACAATATAAATACTATACAATTAAAGAACAAAGCAAAAGCTTTGGTCAACAAGTTAGTTTATAAAAAACTTGGCATCACTGGTTACAAAATATGTTGAAAAACCAAGTTTAAAGCAAAACAAAATGACCATAACACATGCAGCATCAACTGCAATAAAATAGAATATTTCTAATATAAACATATAAAAAATAAACTCAAGATAAGACATTTAATTATATCCCTTGATGGTTAAAAGTATAGCAAGGATGAACTTAATGGATTAGCTTGCATAAATCTTAAGTATGTAAACTTGGTACAGCCATAATGAGTGTATTCTGATTTCATTCTTGACTAGCTCTAATGAAATTGAAAGTAATTTTGATGTTGATAAGATTTGACAAATTAGAAGAAATAATGAGCTAATGCTGTTTGAAAAAATCTCCAAAAATCAACATTGACTCAACTAATCTTCAAGAATTAAATTCTTGGAATCTAAAAGATTGTTATGAACCAATATTTACATGTAATCTTTTTAAACCTCTAAGTTCTTTGAAAATCCATTAACAATTCCTCAATTCAGCATTCACAATCAAGCAACAGGATGCTGTGTCAAAAGCATTTGTCAATGTTTATTGCCAAGTATGAAAAAATAGATTCATTAGAACTACAATGATTCATAAGGAAGAACTCCCACCTTTAAATCAAAAAAAAGGTATCCCTGAACTAAGAAATAATAGAAAAATGTCCATTTTTTTAATTTTAATCATTTTTTGTATTAACTTTTCAAACTATATTTAACATACCGATATTGTAAACATTAAAATACTGTATACCAATATTTTAATGTTTATACTGGTGTCAAATTGAATTTTTTCCTCTTAAAAAAAGGTACCAGTTATTAGTTTTTCAAATTTATTCTGGCATTCAAAATTTAAACACGCAAAACTTAGAACCACCTAAAATAAGAAATTGATACATTTTTAAATAAAATATTTTACAAAAAATACATTTTTTGATGAAGTTATAAATCTATTAGTAAAATAAACACCATATTGTTTTTTTTTAGATTTGTAAACTTAATCAAATTTTGATGAAAAACTTTTTCCCCTACATTAGGAATGATAATATAAACTCATTTATTCAGAGGTGAGTGAGGGAGGTGGGTTTTCCCAGGCTCTAACCATTGAGACTTCATTTTTAGTATCAACTTGTTTTTTTAATAATTTTGATCAATGAAGTAGAGAGCAGATGGGACATAGTTTACAAAATTTTATTACTATTATTACTATTATTTAATAAAATATCTTAAAACTTTTTATTTAAGAGTTGGAGGTGCATATTGTGATCTGTGCACATGCTTATAATGTCAGTGTTTAGATTTTTAAATGATTTTGAGATATTATAACTGTGAACCAACTTGAACAAAAAGAGGGTTTTTTACTTAAAAAGAAAAATATATCACAAAGGCTGGAAGAATCTTTAAATCAATTCCAACCTATGATGCAAAGCCCATACAAGTAAAATGCTATCTTGTAAAAGTCTTAATGCTATTCTGTATACTTGATTTGTGAACATTCAATGTGTTTTTTATAGGTTCTTCATGCTTTACTGTGTACATTTGATCATTTTATGAAGACTGTTTATAGGTTCTTCATGCTTTACTGTGTACATTTGATCATTTTATGAAGACTGTTTATAGGTTCTTCATGCTTTACTGTGTACATTTGATCATTTTATGAAGACTGTTTGATCATTTTGTTTTTGTTTTGAATTATTAAAAGATTAATCTAAATCCTTTTTTCAATTTTTTTAAACCTCTTACTGAACGTTCAAATTATGTGAACATTTTATAACTATTTGCTTTAACATTTTAAAATATATTTACAAATACAACAATACAATAACTTAAACTAGAGGATCATTCTTTTACTCTTATGTTTAAAAGTGCTAAGTTGGCACATTTTAGTTAAAAAAGCATCTTATTCCTACATGCCATAGCACCTAAAAATTATATGGGTTTACTAGAGCCAACTTAACACTTTTTGATATAAATAATAAGTTTATACATTAATTGTAATTTTCTAGTACCTTTGGTAGGCACAATATCAGGAAAAGAAGGAAGGAGGGGGAGTAGTTAGGAGCAATACTCCCTATATATTTTTATAGTTGAACTCATAATGACAAATGACTGTTTATATATTTACAAATATATACAACAAATTTTGTTTTATATATATAGACCTGCACCAACACCACTTGTCAGAGGTGTGTCCTTGCAACAGGTTTCACCCTGTTCATTCCATGTCATGCTAGTCAACAATGCAATATAATAGGTCTGCACTACAAAAGCCAAAAGTCCCAACCCTACCCCAATTTTTATAACGGCTCCAACATTCTTAGAGATCTCATAAAGGTGGTGAGGGATGCACGTGGTGTGACCATAAATAAATATATCAATACCTAAACAAATGATTTTTTTGTTGTTTTTTTAACTATATACTTTACAGATAATACTGTTATATTTTAAATAGATTTAAATAAATAACATTTTTTCTATAAATCTTGTTTATTTTGTTCAATGCTTTTTGCAAACTAAATTTCTGAAATTTCTTATAAGCAATCAATTGTTGTAGACCGGGGATCAATGATACATAAAACATAACTAATAGGACCCAACATGTATCTTCTTGTGTGGATCAAGAAAAACTTGGACCAGGTGGGTGCATAAATTGAACTTTAATAAATCACTTTCTATCTTGTCTTTTTGGGTTATAATTCTAATTCACCAAAAGTTATATCATACTTGCAAGCTTTGCAATCCATATGATTATGCATAACATGTTGCTCATCTGCACAAATTCAAATGTCTAAACGTCGTTTTATTGATTTCCTTTTATTGACTTTTAAAAGAAACTTTACATGTATTAATTGGTATAAAATGATGAAGACATCTTGTTCCTTGCAAAGTTCTTTTCATAGTAAACCTTTATTGTAATGATGATCGAACTTCATTTATTTCTGCTTTTATAAATTGAATGTTTTTTATATTAGATTCACACAACTCAAAATCTATGAGGCCTCCAAAAAGCCTCATTGAAGGAGTTGTAAAACTTTTTAGCAAAACAAAATTTTTTTTACTTTTTTTTTACAAAGTCAGGGAAATATAAATAGACTTCACAATTTTGTTATGCTAGTAAAAAAATTATAAGCATTTATAAGAATCAAAACTTTCAAAATTATCACATTTCTTGCTGCTTTTTCACACCTCCTTCTTCTACATAAACCTTGAAGAATAAATCTTCCTGGACACTTGTCTTTGTGAGTTAAAAACTATTACTTTTTTGATTTTGGGGGTATTCAGAAAAATGCATCATCACTAATCTCCTCTATCCCTTCTCCTAACCTTGAGCCCACCTCAGCAAAAAAATTAGAACTAATGCATAAATTTATTGTTGACCTCAAAAAGACTTTAAAAAAAATTTTTACTACTTAAAAATAAGATAAAGCTAATTTTGTCATAAATAATTTAGCATATTTTATGCTGACTTAATATTACTTAATTATAATTATTATTTAGAAAAAAGAAAAAAAAATGCAGTAATGTATTTTGCTTTAAAAGCTATGTTTGATACCTATTTTTAAATTGCAGAAGGTTAAAAAAAAAAAAACGTATCTTAAAAATATGTATAGACTTTTATACCACATTTTTTCTAGTTCATTTTTTCTTTTCTAG